CCCGTCCCACACAGGGGCCAGCCAGTTCCTCTGGAGGGCCAACAACAGGGCAGAGAGGCCAAGGCCTTCCCCTGAGAAGAACCTCAGAAGAGCCCTGCTGGGTCAGACCAGGGAGGGTCCATCCAGTCCAGCATCCTGTCTCACACACTGGCCAACCAGTTCCTCTGGAGGGCCAACAACAGGGCAGAGAGGCCGAGGCCTTCCCCAATAAGAACCTAAGAAGAGCCCTGCTGGATCAGACCAACAGCCCATCTAGTCCAGCATCCTGCCTCATACAATGGCCAACCAGTTCCTCTGGATGGCCAACAACACAGCAGGAAGGCCAAGACCTTCCCCTGATGTTGACTCCTGGTGCTGGTATTCAGAGGCTAACTGCCTCTGGATATGGAGGTTCCCTTTAGGCGCCATGACTAGTAGCCACTGATAGACCTCTCCTCGGCCTAATCCCCTTTAGAGCCATCTATGCCTGTGACCTTCTGGCAGCAAATTCCACATTTCAGTCATCCTCCGTGTAAAGTAGTATTTCCTTTTGTCCATCCTGAACCTACTGCCCATCAGCTTCCTGGGACGCCCTCAAGCTCTAGTGTTTTGGCAGAGGGAGAAAAGGTTCTCTTTGCCAACTCTCTCTACCCCAGGCATCGTTTTAGGAAGAACAAACCAGACCCAGCGCCTTCACGAGGCCAAGATCCGCCACTCACCGCTGCACAGCTTCCAGCGACAACCCCGGCGATGAGGACCGGGGAATCCCCTCGGAGGGTGAACCCAAAGCCGTTTTCGCCTCGGACCAGGCGAACTGTTCGAGGGGGGTGCCACTTGTTCTTGGCAGAGAACACGGAAAGAGGACCCTAGAGAAAGCAGAGCACACGTCTCAGGAAACAGGAGGTGCCATGACCTGGGCTGAGCCACCAGAGGCCTACTAGGCCCAGGGAGCCTGGCTAGCAGTAGGTGAGGCTGGGCCTACAACTCCCAGAAGCCCCTGGGAGGTTTTGGAGCCAAAATTGACCAATAGAAGAGGAGGGCTTGGAATAAAAGATCTGGCGCAGCAGGAAAAGCTGTTCTTCTTCCCAGAGGGCAGAGCCAGAAGGAAGGCTGCTGCAGGAAGAAACCCTCATCCTGAGGGAAGGGTGAGTAGTCTAGTGCCACTTGGAATCGTGAGCTGGGGACAGTGTATATTTAGACATGTTAGGGCATTTGATGTCTTTTCTTTTCACCCACTTACTGTTATATTTCGGCACCTTGTTTGTTTGACCCCTTATACAATAAACTATTTTATCTGTTCACTCTGCCTGGTTCTCATGCCTGTTATTCGGCCAAAAGGGAGGTTTGAAGGTCTTGGGAGGGTGCTCTGGGCCTTCTCAAGGGAGCCTGGAACCAGAGTGGTGGCAGCATCAGGTGACACCCCACCTGAGCCGTGACAGGAGGGGTGGCCACACCAAGTAGGTTGCAGTGAAAACACACCTGAAACTTGTGACTGACGAGGTTCTGCTGTAGCCGGTGGACTAGAGCTCTGGGTTAGAATCACATCCCTTTTAAGTCTGCCATTTTTTTTGCCAAGGTTCCCCACGACTCCCGGTCATTTCAGGAAGTAACTCCACAGAGCTGGGAGTTGGGGATAGCTGCTGGAGCGGAGCCTTTCCCGTAACATGCAAGGCCCCTATGTTAGAATGAATCGTCTCCTGCGTGGCGCTCGAATTCACTGGGTACACTGGAATTTGTTCATTTTGGGAGGGAAGAAAAATGACCCCCCCCCCCCATCCCAAGCATAATTTTAGAAACAGGAAGAACGAACACACAGATCCTGGAAGAGGGATGATGGACCTAAATATCCTGCCGACCGAGCAACAGTGCAACACGGGCCTGTAGCTACAGTGGGGCGTTCCGGGGCCCTGCCCCCTTAATCAAAAGCCCTGCCCCACGAATGGCCAGGCCGGAACCCTTATTTTTGAGGAGAGACACACACACCCCCGCTTCCTGCTGCTGGCACGGCCAGGGTGAGACCACCACGGCTTGCTCTTGGGAGGGGTCATTTCCTGCGGGAGCACACAGGAGCAGTGCTCCGGCAGTAAGGAGCCCAGAGGGCGGGCACATGCAACAAGCCCCACCCCCTGCTCCCAGCAGCCCTCAGTCAGGCCATGAGGACCAAGAAGCAGCCAGGTAAGTTGCAGAGCCCCTCCCCGGCCCACCTTCAGGTACAAGCTCTCCCTCCTCTGTGAGGGCAGATCTGCACGTCCCATCCCCCCCGTAGCTAGCAATCCAAAACAGTCCGGTGGCACCCTTAAGACCAAGTTTTATTCAGGTACAAGCTCTCCCTCCCCTGCGAGGACAGATCTGCACGTCCCCCCCCCAATAGCTAGCAATCCAAAGCAGTCCAGTGGAGCCTGAGCGGTGGGTATTGCCTTCTGACACACTTCCAGTGATGTCAGGGGGTGTGGCATATGCAAATAAGTTATGCTAATGAGTTATGGTAATGAGCTCCTGCACCTCTTTTTCTACAAAATGACCCCTGGTTGGAGATGTATTGGAGATGCCGCTCTTGAGCAGTGTTCCCCTCTAAGCTGAGTTAGAGTGAGCTAGGCTCACAGATTTTTAGCCTCCAGCTCCAGGAAGGATGGCTCCAGAGCAAACTAATTCATGCAGCAGCGAAATCGCTCGCTCACAACTTTAATGCCAGTAGCCCACAAAGTAGAATTTTTGCTCACAAGACTCTACAGCTTAGAGGGAGCATTGGTGCTGAGGGCTAATTTATCTGCGCAAGGCAGGTGTGGGGGGGTTTGCGCTGAACCCCACGGCCTTCTACAACAGACAGTTTCAGAGGGAAGCCATCTTAGTCTGCAACACAACATCTAGATGCTGACAAAGGGAGCACTGACTCTCGAACGCTCATACCCCCAAAAAACCTTGTTGGTCTCTAAGGTGGTCTCCAATATCGCTGTTCACCGACCTCCCAACATCTTTCAGTTCTCTGATTCAACTGCTGGTCAACCTCAACCTCTGCTCCTTGGTACGTACCAGTCTATGGAAGATGTCCGTCACCTTCACCTTGGAGAAGTTGGGGGATTTGATTTCTGGTCTCTGATGCGTTTTGGCTGAAAGGAGAGTGGGGTGGGGTGGGGGCAGAAGACAATGTTAAAACTGCTGTACGACTGGGGCAGGCAGACGCTGCTTCCTACGACTGGTGGTTCAGGTGGAAGGTGAGTGAAAAGGACATTTTGATTCTGTACACAAAGGGTTGAAGAAGAGAAGAAGAGATTAGATTTATACCCCGCCCTTCACTTGGACTCTCAGAGCGGCTTACAAACTCCTTTCCCTTCCCCTCCCCGCAACTCTGTGAGGTAGATGGGGCTGAGAGAGCTCTTTCAAGAACTACTCTTTCAAGGACAGCTCTTGTTGGAACTATGGCTTGCCCAAGGTCATCCAGCAGCTGCAAGTGGAGGAGTGGGGAATCAAACCCGGTTCTCCCAGATTAGAGTCCACGCACTTAACCACGACACCAAACTGGCTTCGGCACACTGGCCCTCTCTTTCCTTCCCGCGAACCAAGTTTCTAGTCTTTAAGTCTGCAGAGATACGCTTGGAACCGTGAAGCCTCGAGTGCCCAAAGGGAGGGATTCTGTGACCTCGGAATCAGGTCAGCAGCATGGGTCATGCACACTGAATGAAGAGCCTGTGAGGTGCTGTGGTTGGAGGGGTGGCCTAGGCTCTGGGAGACCCAGATTCGAATCCCACTCTGCCATGGACGCTTGCTAGGTGATGCTGGGCCAGTCAAATGTCTGCAGCCTTACCTGCTTCCCAGGTAGTTTCAGCCGTACCAGTGGGCAGCGGAACAGTTACGAGTCCAGCAACCCCTTAGAGCAGGGGTGTCGAACTCATTTGTTATGAGGGCCGGATCTGACATAAATGAGACCTCGTTGGGCCGGGCCACGTGTGTCATAAAATGTCATGCCAGGCAGCGGAGATATAAACTTTATAAAGGACACAAACGGGTGGTTTTTTTAACTTAAAATAAAAACATGCTTAAAACATTAGCTCTGTAAGCTGCAAACCTACTTCTGATTTATTGACATCCGCCACAGAAATCTCATGCTCAGAGTCCTGAGTCGAGGACCCCGGTTAGAACATGGAATGGCTGAGCGATTGAGAGAGGCTGGCGAAGCAAGCTATGATGCAGCAGCAGAACTGGAAGCAGGAGACGGCCAGTTCCACTGTGGGCCTGATGGAAGCCCTCCGGGGGCCTCATCCGGCCCCCGGGCCACATGTTTGACACCCCTGCCTTAGAGGCTCAACAAGCATTTCTGGGCATAAGTGTTCAAGAGTGAGAGGTCAGACACACTGTCGAAGGGCGTTTTGGCTCTTGAAAGCTTACACACTATAACATTTGTTGGTCTCTAAGGTGCTACTGGACTCAAATCCACCTGTTCTACTTCACAGGGTTGTTGTGAGGATAATAGGAGGCGAGGGGAACAACTTAAGTCACTCTGGATCCCCAGTGGGGAGGAAGGAAAGAAGAGGAGGAAGAAGGATTGGATTTATACCCCGCCCTTCACTCCCCGAAGGAGTCTCAGAGCGGCTTACAAACTCCTTCCCCTTCCCCTCCCCACAACAGACACCCTGGGAGGTTGGCGGGGCTGAGAGAGCTCTGAGAGAGAACAGCTCTGAGAGAACTTGTGACAGACCCAAGGTCACACCAGCAGCTGCATGTGGCGGAGTGGGGAATCAAACCCGGTTCTCCCAGATTAAAGTCCATGCTCCTAACCACTACACCAAACTGTTATAAATGAAGTAAATAAACAAATTAAACAAGCACGCCTCATCTGCATCATCTCTCCAGTCCCCAGAATTCAGCTTGGCTTGATGCAGAATTCTCACTTCTATCGTGGGAGGGTACCTTTGGTCCCGGATCCCACCGATTTACGAAGGTTGCGAAGCCGTACACATTGAGTAGAGGATCCCCAATCCCTTCATTCCACGTTAAGCTACTCCAGAGAGCTGCCCTGGCAAGGTGCAGAGAGCCAGCGTAGTGTAGCCAAGTGCCAGAGATCTGGGACCCGACAAGGATCTGAGTGACCCAGGTTCGAATCCACACTTTGCCATGAAAGCGTGACCTACCTCCACAGGGCTGTTGTGAGAATAAAATGAAGCAGAGAAGGATGATAGGCTGAGAGGGGTACTGAGGTCCACAAATCGACATCTGTTAGTGGTTCCGGGCCCCAGGGACATCCGGCTAGCCTCGACCGGGGCCAGGACTTTTTCCGGCCTGGGCCCCTGCCTAGTGGAATGAGCTCCCGTGTGAGATCAGGGCCCTGCCGGACTTATTGCCGTTCCGCGGGGCCTGCAAGACGGAGCTCTTCCGCTGGGCATTTGGTGGAGGCAGTGGACGTCTCCCTTCTCTCCCTCCCTCCAGCTTTCCTGGCGCCCTGGGTTTTTCTGCCCAATTCTTTCAGGCCAATTGTCCCCCAAGCATGTTCTGACTAGACAGCTGACAACTTATAATTATAACTATATGGTTATTTTATGATTTTAAATAGCCTCCTGTGAGTTGGGTATTTTGCTTATACTGTTTTAATCTGTATTTTATTGCACTTTGTGCCTTAACTATTTTAACTTGTGGTATTGTATTGCACTTTTGTGCCTTTGTAAGCCGCCCTGAGGCCGCGAGCGGGGAGGGCGGGATATAAATGATATAAAATAAAATAAAACAAAACATAAACTGTTATTTTAATACTGCTTTGATGGTATATTTACTTGTTGTACACTGCCCTGAGCCCATTGGGGAGGGCAGCATATAAATCTAATAAATTAATTTTTTTAAAAAAAATAATTAAATTTGGGTCCCCGTTGGCGAGAAACGTGGGGTAGAAATAAAGTAAAAGGTAAAGGTTCCCTTGCTCGAAAGCCAGACGAGTCCGACTCTAGGGTTGCGGTGCTCATCTCCATTTCAAAGCCGAAGAGCCAGCGCTGTCCGAAGACGTTTTCGTGGTCATGTGGCCGGCATG